CTCAGATTTCTTATGAAAAATTTACAAACAAATTTTTAAAGCGGTGCTTCAGTATAGCAGCCAATAGCTCACATCTATTTCATTATTATTATGGAACTTTATTTGCTTTATACTACTTGAGTTGAGTGAAAATAAAATAATTTATTTTGTTGAGAAATTTTATTAAAAGTAAACATGATTATTTATATCAGGCATGTGACCGACGCCTGAAAATTGCTGCGTCAAATAAATTCTCCAACACCAAACAGCGTTTTAATGTGCTTGCACACCCGAAATGGTTCGTAGAGTTCATTGAACTTGCTAAAAGTCTTGCAGTAAATTTGAATAACGTGTTCACTCTTTTGATATTGGCGGCCATATATAGTGTGCCTTTCCACCTGCAAGCGAGCTCTCTGCAAGGTCTCTACGCATATGCAAATGGTTATGCGTGTGCTTATCCTTAACCATCAACTGTGTATTGGCGTAGTAGCGCAAACGATCCCTCATCAATATGTTTAGCTGGACGTTACACAATTTATTACATTTAAATGTCGATAAGCAGAAGGACCCTAACAAAAATAAAAATGCCATATTCAGATTAAACTTGGTACTTTATACATATGCAGACCGTTATGTTGTACTACGTGTCGCCATCAGCTTTTATAATGCCAGTGTGTGGGCGTAAGCGCAAGCAGAAGGGTATAAAACGTGACGGAAGTCCCTTTAAAATGTATCTATGTATGAGTTGTGCGTGTAATGGTATGCATAAATAAATGCTCATAACACAAACAGATATGCGAGGTAAGCAGCCAGCAACTGTGCAGTTGTAAGTTTAAAGCCGCCAGGATATTACTGATAAAGCATACCCACTGATAGAGTGTGTGTGTGTGTGGTTATAATAAATTTCCATATGAGAATGTGTGTGTGTGCGAGCATTTATTTATATGCATGCAGACATTGACGGCGACACATGTTCGTATTTATTTATTACAAATGATATGTGAAACAATGCTCGTAACGAATATTCACAACAATAACAACAGCAACAACAATAGCATCAGCAGCAACAGCTATTGTCGTAATAAGACAAACGAACATGAGGAGCTTTTGTGGCTGCCCCAAGCGGGCTGCATGAAGAAAACAAAGCACACGTAACATTCAGACTGGCAGATCAACCGCACGGCGTTGAAGAGCATAAATGGGCTGTAAGTAAGGCTGTGGCAAGGTGTGAAGAGCAACTGTACAAGCTGACAGATAGACGGAGCAATATGTTTGTGCATCAAACGGACAGACAGAGAGAGACAAAACGGAAATATATCGGCTGAATGAGCGTTGCGAAATCAGGGTACGCCTTCGATGTATACACAAACCATTATATATATATTATATATACGTATATACATTGTGTGTGGCTAGGCATAAGGCATATGCTGGTGATTACTACTGGCTGTTTATATTGTCTCCAATGTTATTGTTCATTACAACTATTGTTATTTTTGTTGTACTTAAAATGGCACACAACATATGAAGCTACGCATATGAATGTGTATGTGTAAATGTGTTTGGCTTGCAAAACTCAATTCATTGGGTGTGGTAACAATGCAAACTTGAAATGAATCAAATACAAGGGGAGACGTATCAACGTGCAAGGGCTCGTTTACAAGTTTGTCATATATGTATGTATGTGTTTGTGCCTGCATGAGTGCAGCGCACAGGGAAATAATAATAAAGTAGGAATGCAAATAAAAACGTCTGATCGTGTAGTAAGAACTATAAATCAGGAAGCGATACAAATAAATTATGAATATCAATGTGATATGTCTTGCCGTTTTAAGTGTGCTGCAGTCAGTCATGGCGTATAAGTAACAAACGTTTTAAATTTGTTGAGTAATGCAAAGGATTGTATTAAAGTTGGGCTTAAATTGAAGTTTAGCAAACAGAAAGTTTTTCAAGCGTTACATGGGCTTTCTCGGGTGGAAAAACAGGATTTTTTCCATTTTTTTTCTCATTTAAAAAATTTAATTTTTAATAGAATTTTTTTTATTGTTAGAAAAATACCCAACTAAAAAATAAATATTGAAATTTTTAGAAAAAATTATTACGCACTCAACCGTTTCGACGCCATTTCCGGTGACCCCTCGGAAGAAAGATGTAGGATAACTCCTTACCAGATCAGCTAAGAAATACGTTTTTAGTTAAAACCTTTGCTGAGAACTTGGACGAAGGAAGAATAAACTGAAAATTGGATTTTTGGCAAACATCTTTAAAAAATGAAAATTTTCAGTAAAACTTTCAAAACATTTTTTTCCAAATATTTGGAATCGAAAAAATCCTAATTCTTTGAGAAATGTATCTCAAAAAAAAAGAAAAAATTCATGAAGATTGGTCGAGTAGTTGTCAAGAAATCTTGCCCAACCGACTTCAAAAACACAGTTTCGAGAAGAGCGCGTGTAAAAACGGCGCTCTTAACCTAGCTAGCCTCGAGCGCAAAAGTTTTCAAGACTATATCTCCGAAACTATTAATATTTTAGAAGTGTTGTAGATTCGATATTTTAAAGCCAGTAAGGTCATTTATTGCCTTAAGGCCGCAAGCATTTCGAAATAACCTGTTTTCTGGAGCTGAAACTGCAAAAATTTTAATACGCTTATTTATAATAATTTTTTACGTAGTTTTTAACATCCTAAAACAAACATAGCAGACTCTATAAAGAATATCTTGATAAATAATCTGAGTGATGAGCTCAGTCAACTGTCTGCCTGACTGTATACTATACTCAAACTAATGCCACTGTTTATGAGATATCAATTTGAAATTTTATACAAGATCTCTTCTCCCCAAGAATCTACTCATGTATCGCAATCGTCTATATCGGAACATTATGCTACATTAATGCTACAATTTCCGAACATACTGTTAAGATCGGAGAACTATAGCGTATAACTGCCATACAAACTGACCGATATAATTCAAGATATTTTTTTTTTGCTCGTCAATGCTGTAGAAAATGCACTTGTGAACAGGAATTTTTGATTCAGGACACTAAAAGTTAAATATTCTCTGGTTTTTAGTTAAATTTGGGCTCGAACAGAAAGCTACGAAATTTTTTATTCTAAACAAACGGCATATGAACTCGGATATACTGCAGAATTTATTGCTGGTACTCTTTTTTTTAGGAAATAATTAACACTACACTAATCATAGCACCATTGTCTACATTAAAAATCTCTTAAAAATCAATGTTCCCAACAGGTTTCAACTCCCACAATTACTTACGATAGATACACCATGGCGTATGAGTGCTCTAACCTTACCTATTCACACGCTTCTATTTAGTATCTTCCAACGGTGTAAAATTAATTTAAAACTGAAATCCCCACAGCTACCGTACTTTGTACTGTTATATTGATCGTACTGCATAATTGGAAACAAGTTTTTCCCTTTTCGTTGCCATGAATTTTTGAAAAGCTCATTCTGCACACACATAGTCTGACAGCATTCGCTTGCAAATACGCACACATGTACAGATTATGTGCCGTACGCACACAAACAAAACTATAACAAAACAGTGATATTCTAAATTGGATGAGGAAGTTATTTGCTTACGCTATTTTGTTGTTGTTGCATCTTTGCTTGCTATTGTTTTTTTTTATGTTTGTTTAGTTTGCTTTGCAGCACAACAATGCAATACTCTTATATATTTATTTTACCCTAATGGACAATTCAATTTGTTGCTGCTGGTTGTTGTAGTCACTACACGCATCCAGCGGCATCTGCTTTAAACATTATACTTACGGTTATGTTGATATTTGTGAGCATTTTATTTAAAAGTGATTCACGCACACATTTATATACACTGGCGCGCGTCAAGTCTATGTGAAGTGTGTGAATGCCCCCAATGGAGACATTCAAATGTCAAAGAGCAAACAAAGGAATTCTATTTGTAGTTAAACTGAAATGCGAAGTGAGAATTAAAAGTTAATATATTAATCAAAGAGTCTAAAGCTTATAGAAACAACAAACTAATTTTCGAAAATGAAGAAAATTTAAGATCTTTCAACTTGTATGATCATATGACGTTAATCCTGAACTTTTTTGAGTTTTGCGTATTTTGACGTGTTATAATCAATTCTGGTATAAAATACAAACTTTTCTGCTTATACGCCGATAGTACATAGATGCGAAAATATTCTCTGAAAATTTCAAGTTGATCTTACAAGTATGTATTTTCGAAAATTGCAGTGTATTTGTAATATTTTTATTGCTTTTCTTTTTACCGGCTTAGAGACAGCTTACGTGGTTGTAACCTAGACATCAATAGCGCGGCAGTCGTTTCTCCTCTTCCGTATTTGTCACCAATTGAAAATACTCAGTGCAGAAAGGTTCTTCTCCAGCCAATGTCTCCAAAGGAGTACAGGTTTTCCTATTCCGCTGCCTCCAACGGCGGGTTCCTAATCGAGTTCTTTGATCATTGCGTAGTTTTTACCACAAAGCAGAACGGCAATGTTAAGCGACTTGTAGAGTTTGGTCTTCGTTCGTCGAGTGGGGCTTTACTAGGAGTTTTAGAGTCAACATTGTGCGTAGAGTGGATTGCAAATACGTGAGAATAGCATAAACAAAACTAAGCTGGAGTTTTTGGACAGTTTTGGTATGGTGAGGAACATTTCTCAAACACGGTTAGTCTGATTGATTTAAATCTCACGCGATTTTCTTAGATACATATATTTGTCAGCTAATAAGTGAAGAGATGAGATTTTTGATATTAGACAATTTCAAATAAAAAATTCCTCCTCATCGCCAGACAACCTTTTTTAGGTATGGGATCTATTTAATCCAAGATTTGTCGAATAGAAGCGTCGATTATTAAAATTCATTTAATTGCGATTTTCGTTTACATACATATTAAATTTTTAGTAATAAGTAGTTCGTCTTAAAAAAATCATAAAAATCGTGGTTTACTTTTAATTATTTTATACATGAAACTGAAATGTTGAATTTGATTTTATCTGTTCTTTTCTTGCAGTTTACACCCACTGCAGTTCATCATGGTACAGATCACTGCCATACCTAATCAATAATTGCGCTAATATTCAACAGAAGATATCCAAAAAGTACTAAAATAAGTCATCATAATAACCAAACTCACACCGAAACCAAAAAAAAAAATTTAAAACAGCCATCAACATTCCTAAAATAAACATTTAATAGATAACCACTGATTGCAATTCCAAGTAATAAACTGGATCATTGGTATTTTTAAGTCTAAGCGTCAAGAATAATCTACACTTGCAACAGCACAAATTAGTTATAAACAAAACTTACGGAAATCTAAACTGTAAGCCGGAGCAGTAGCATAAAACTCTTGGGTTGTAATTGAAGTAAACAAAAAGGAACTCCGAAGAATATATTAACACAAATAACGCTAAGCATAATTTACTAAAAATTAACTCGAATAATAAGTAACAAACTGAAAGTGGAGAAAATTAATAAATGTTGCAATACTCGCCATAAAACTTAGGCAGCTATAAGCAGTACAATATTGTAACATATACAGTAAGAACTCGAATTTTATTTTATGCAGCACTGAGACACACGCACCAAAGCACTGAAGCTGCAAGAAGAAGTGAACGCCTATTTTGCGAAATCAACAAAGCTCTGCGACTAACTGCGACCAAGTAAAAGCTAGTGTACCAGTGGGCGTCAGATCTGCGCAAATGCGAAAAAATGATGTCGATCAACGACGAAGAAGACGATCACAGACGCCATAGTGTGAGTAAAAGCGCCCAAAATGCAACACTGCAAAAGCTTAGCGCCGGAAACCGTGAAAGTGCGAAGTCTAAAATTAGGAAAAGCGGCAGTAGTAGCAGCAACCACAAACGCAATATAACTTATTTGCATTTTTTACGCAAAACTCGCAGAAAAAGCAACAAGCATAGCTTTAAAGCAACCACGCCTACCACAAATGCGCGACAGTGGCAAGCGTTAAACGCTTATTGGCAAAAGCTGCTGGTCGCGCATAAGCAGAGCTACGGCGCGGCCACACATGTGGAAACGTCAAGCTTTCACCACGCGAAAAGTTTAGAAGACTTGCATTTCAGTGAAAGCGCTGCCACAAAATGCATAAGCAATACGTGCACATGGAACAATCAGTTGAGTTTTGAAAACGCGAAAGACAGTCGTGAAATGAAGCGAGTATGTGGCATGGTGCGTAGCAAGAGTGCGTCGAGCTTAAGCAGTAAAAGTAGCAGCACTTCGCAGCCACAATCGAGTTGTAGTGGTAACAGTGACAGTCCCGTAAAAGCTGGAGGAAAGTACAGTAGAAATCGAAGCGGGAAAAATTGTTACAATGCTGGCCATAAGCGCAGCAGAACCGACTGGCCAGACAAAGACAGAACCTATATAATTATAAGCAATAACCGTGAACCAAACGGCAGCTATCTTAGAGGGCCGCAATCAACCGAAAGACTGTGCACACGCAAAAAAAGACGCTTGCGGCGGCGTCGAAAAAGAAAGGACATTCAACGTGCAGAACACCTAATTCATTATCTAGACGCAGCTAGCAAGCAACAGCTAGTAAACACATCTTCATCAATAGTAACGACATTTGACGCACAACAGGAATCACACCAAACTTCAACTGATTCACACATACAACCAGCAACAATAGCAACAGCCACAGCGCCAACGCCAGCAGACACAAATCACAACATGCTCGAGAGCATGTCAACAACAGCTGAGTTATTGTCGTTGGCAAAAATAACAGCAGCGCAAAAGTATATGTCGCCAGCTAGCGAGACACTTCCGAAACTTAGCGATTCTCTTAAGCACCACAATAAAAGTTGCTGTAGCGGCAATGCGACTGCTGTGCAACAACAAGCAAAGAAAGGCAATAAAGGTGCAACAATAAATGTCACGCCGTCATTTTCATCGGCAGCGCTCACCGCAACGCCTGCCATAAGATTGCCGACATTTTACGCAGCCACCACGTTGCGCCTCTTCTTAACCACATTGACTACATTGATTGCCAGCACAACACCCACGACGTTCACAGCCACAAAATACTCATGGATATTTTTATGGATATATGTGAATTTAACTGCTAGAGGTGAGTACACGATTTAGGCGTAACTATTGTTATATGAAATTAAACGTTTTATATAGGAGTGTTCTTCTCAAACACAATTCGCTCCTGCAAGCCAGTTGGTTGTTGGACTAAGCACCTCTGAAACCATTTATTTTAAATTCGACGAATGAATCATCTCAATTCATAAATTCCAAAACAATTATTATTCTGTTGAAATGATTATTATTCTGTTGAAATGGTACTAAGCGACGGCTCTTTATATGATAAACCATACGCAGTGGTTAGTTTTAAACTATTATGTCACAATTTGTCTTTCAGGCCGAAATTGTTGGCATAACAGAAGAAGTCGGCTTCTGGTTTAACCAACAACTTTCCAGCGGACAGCTAGATGGCAACTAAAGTTCTTCGTAGCTTGATTGTCGATGGGTGACTCGGATAATATCTTCTATCACATAGGAATAGGTTATGTTGAATTGCGGAAATAGGCTTAGTTCCTGTGAAGTCGCGATTAATTGCAATGAGATTGCATGACACACTTTTTCGATGGTACCCAGAAACCCTACATCTGAAGCAAAAATAAATTAACATATCGATCGCCGAAATTAGGTTGATCTAGGAGGCCGATCCTAACAGGAATTCCCTTGAAGAGCCAATAATGTCCGTTCATTGCGGTATTTACAAAGTCTTATATTCTGGAACAGAATATAGGTTCTGTTTTCAATATATTCTGTTCCAGGGGTTGAAAAATTTGTTAAGACGGTTAAGTCTGTTTCGGATATGCCTTCTGGTTTGCCAAAGGGGAGACTAAAAATATGTTTCAGTATCATTGAAGGAAACACTGGACAATAAAGGAAAGGTGCCTAGTTTTTTTGCACCTCATCCTCCTCGTTACTATTTTTGCGAATGCCTTGCCTTCAGCTGGCTGCGATATCTTCTACGGCTAGCAATGGCTCCAACTTAATGTACATTGCTAAGCTGGAGTGGAAAAGTCTAGTTTGTTTACCAAATCTTTAGAGTTTCTGAAGATTACTTTGGTTACTTTTGTAACCACATAGCAGTATAATAGACCTAATGGTAACTTATGTGCGGCCGACTGCACTCACATTTTCACCAATCAGCTAAATAACAATTTTATGCTATATTACTAAAAATGCTTAAAGATCTCTCATCTAACTCAGTAAGGCTTTGCAGATCATACATCCATCTGTCTCTACACTTGGTGAAGGGTCGATGAGTATCGAGGAACTTAGTGCTATACTGCCAAACATTATGTATGTTCTGTAATCGAAGAATGATTGCTCTTTTTGACATTGGAATATATTTCAGAGGTTCTGCCTTAAAGGTTTATGCCATCACTTGCTCTGCCAATGTTCATATTATTCCTGCGTAGAAACTTTAAAAATCTTTTTTGAAATTAAAATAATTCTCTACTTTTGAAGAACTTTACTATATTCATGTTTCTCGAGACGGCTCCCACTGGTTAATGACTATCACTGAAGCTTTTGCCTGCTAGAAATTCACTCAGTGTCCACCTTATGCTATAATATTCTACAATTGATACTGAATTTCTCCAAATATTCGGCAGCAATATTAAATCATAAAATAAATAGACGAGCCCCAGCTATAATTTGGCCCACAACAACACTCAAACTATTACTGTCAAAAACAGTTATCTTTTCCACATAACTATTCTATGCTACTGTATTTCATTGCTACCGTGCGCCTAAAAGTAGACTAGACAACCGTCAAGTGTAGTAACCGACCGTGAGTTCCACAAAACACTACTTTTTCACACATTTGCTGTCCTAACTGACTAACCGAAATTTTACAGTTTTATATGTTTTTGTATACATATTTTCTCTCACGTGAAACTGACAGAACGCTTCGTTGTCACATTTAATACATTTTGCATATTTCGTTTTTTAGAATTTGTTGTACTTTCGCACTTGTTGCTGGTTTATTTGTTGGTTGCATGTAGGGTCCGCAGTGCCAAAACAATGACAGTAGACATCGCATGCACTGGCAGTGTTTATTATTCAAGGGTGTCGTTACTGCAGCTCGCATTGTCTAGCACCGCTTGTTGCCACAAACACAAACAACCACTCAGCAGTGTTGGCGAGTGTGTTTCTGCCACCACCGCGCCTCCGGCTGTAAACTCGTGCCAACGCATATTGGCCTTTTTCTTGGGATGAAACGTGATTTCTTTGGCATCTGCTTACTTCCCGCCTCAAACTACATGGCAGTTCAGCGCAGTCAAGTTGGTTGAGGGTCTCGCTTTTGTTATTTGCTCGGTGCTCGGCTGCACCGCACGTAAATTACCCTGAAGTGCACTTAAGCGCCAACGAGTGCAACTCAAGTACTACAACTTATAAGATTCGCTTTAAAAGTCTCTTCAATTTTTAATTCAATACGAATTTGCATTGTGTCAAAAGATAGGCGTTTAGCAGTAGTGTGCGGCTGTGGCGCGGATGAGTGAGCAATTTGCTTCTACTGAAGCAAAACAAAGCGTGCGAGATGCTGTTGGAAATCGAACTTGAACGGTAGTGGTTGAAAGGCGTTCAACTGGAATTTGCAATGCTCCTTTTAGGTGAGGGCAAAATCGAAAAAATGTTTATTGCAGTTCGACAAAGGCTTTAAAAGTCGAAACTTGGAGAGATTTGTGCCTTATTTCAATGTGAAATTCATTGCTCTAAAAGGACCATAATTGTTTGAGAAGTTAATATAACTTTGGTGGTTATTTCAAGAAGAAATAATTGTAAAATCCTCCTGTGGCTCAAGTTTTTAAAAGAAAAGCTATTAGTGTATGTTAGTCCGTCCGATTTGAAATAAATTTGTGATGAAAGTACTTTATTACTTAAATAGAATATATATGTTGATGGCTGAAAATAGCAATATAATCAAATACTATATACCCAAAACTATACCTAAATCTATACTCAAAACTATATACGAAACTTTACCCAAAACTATACCCAAAAGAGTCTCAGTGGCTCCGCAAATTTCTGTTTCTATTTCCACCAACACGCCCTGCTCCTTAACTCGGTATACCCCAATTCACCACCTTCAAGGACAACCATTTTTAATAATTGACTAATCCACACCGCTGCGCTGCTGCTAGCTCAAACGCGCTGACCTTAATTCGGCATAAGTAAATACCTAACCAAAGGCGTTTTTAATTATGCAGAAAGCTGAAAATTTGATTCTTTTAGCGTGGTGCTAATAAATTCCAAACAAACTCCTCACTCACACTCCAGCGCAGCGAATAGTTGTGTAAATAAAAAATGTATCCCATTTCATTGCTGGTCTGGGTATCACAGCTCGCTTTAAACCCTGCTTCAGAGCTGAACTAATTACTTTTAATTTCTTTATTATTGTGCTACATGTCTTCCATTAGCGCTGTGATTTTAATCTCCAGGGTCCCTCGTGTGGTTGTAGCCTTGAATATTTTCAAATATTTGCTTTGCATTAAAAATGCGCACAATCCAAAATAGATTGCCCGCGCTCATTCATATCTCTTTCTATTTCTAACCTCAGCATTTGAATAACTGGATATATATATGTATATCTATATGTATACATATATATTGTATGCAAATGGTTGCATATAAATTGTTGGAAAATTAGGTTAAATAATTATTTATTTAAATACATATATATACAATATGCCATCTCCAGCAGCTCACTCACTGCGCACAGTATTCACAGACAGTCAACGGAAGGTCTTCATTTATTAACGAATCTACAAGTATATTATTTTATTTATTAAAACTGTATAGAATGACTGCCGTTGGTAGCTGTTTGAAAAATTATTTAACGCTGCTGCCAACCAATGAAAATATATAAACAAATAGGCAGCAAAAAACAAAAGAAAAAGTTCGCTTAAAAAGGCTAGTGCCACAAATTTGCGCCCCGCATAACCATTGAAGCGCCTAAGCCGCTGAATGACCAATGGCAATTCGACGCGATTCATTACTGACCCATTGACCGCGCCCTGCCTGCTGTTTAGTCTCCTGTCGTGGGGTTCTCGACCAAAATGAAGTTGAGCGCGGTTTTCCGCATTGCGGTTCGCTTTGCCATTTGGAAATTTATCGTTGTGCCTAATTGGTGAAAGTGGAGCAGACACATTCGTCTCTTAGTTTTGTTTTTGCTTTTTGGCAGTAAAATTAAACCCAAAAATATATAACTGTTTTGAGTATACATATGTATATAGTAGAAGGTAAAATATAGTTTGCAACAAGACAAATTTGTGTGCTCTAGAGTTAAATTGAAAGTGATGTCTCTTTGGAAAACGAATCATAATTTCTACAGAATGTTTGTTCTGATACTTGAGGTTAATTTCCATTTTTAAGAAATAAATTAGATTAATCTGGTAGGCGAATGAGTCACGCAAAAACCAGTTTTGGTCCTTTGTGATACCAGATAAAGTGCAGATATTAAGGAGTAGAATATACTAAGTAGAGTCCCACTAAATTTCATGATAAAAAGTTCGTGGTAAGGTGGACGAATTTCGGTGTTGGTTTGAACACAGTTCCCTTTAATTGGCCAAGACTCCACTGCTTTTTCAAATGTAACTGAAACAGTGGATGTTAGTTGATCATTTCAGTCTTAGAACACTACTGTTACAAAGGCACCACAAAATAAGTTTAAGCTATCAGGTTGTCAAAAAAGTCTTAGTTGTAATTTTATTCGCACGGTTTGATTGATTGTCGATTCTTTTAAGTCGTTCGTGAGTTATAGCGTCGCAAACATGGAGCAAAATACGGCATATTTTACAGTACTACTACGATAAAGACAAAAATGCATCTCAAGCCGCCAATAAAGTGTGTGCAGTTTATGGACCCCATACAGTTTCCATTTCCACCGCACAACGATGGTTTCAACGTTTTCGTTCTGGTGTTCCACGCTCCGGAGGACTGTCGTCGAAAATTGCGGTAAAATCGCTGAATTGGTCGAAAGAGACGGGCATAATAGCAGCTGTAGCATCGGTCAAGAGCTGGGCATAAGTCATCAAAAAAAAAAAA